GGTGAAGTTTAATAAACTCCTTGCTATCTAAAATATAACAGGACACCGGAGTAAATTCTTGAGCATCTCACACTTCTGATAATCAGCTGTCTGCTTGACATTTATTCAGCTGTGCAAAAACTATAACTTTAATCTCAGCCAAACCGATTTACTCAGGAACAAATAAAATACTAAAAAAAAAGCCAAACAATAACATTTTAAGCTAAGTAAGGGGAATGGGGTTGAAAACGATCTGCCGGGAGTCCGGTGTTCTCACGGCTCTAGTGAGCCTAGCCCCCGGCTAACTATCGAGCTAGTGGGTAACAGACGTCTCCAAAAACGTCGGAGCGCTTTTGAAAATATGCGGTGTCCTGATAAACTGAGCAGATATTTGAGGTTTACACAGCTACATTCTCGCCTGAAAATATGTTAAACTTTTATTTTGTGACCCAGAAAGAATAATAAGAGTAAAGTTAAAACTAACTAGCTGCCGCCATTGTTGACAACAGAGCTGGGCTGCGCTATGAATTCTGGGACGGAGCTACTTCTTCTTCTTCGGGGTTTAACGGCAGCTGGCATCCTTGTACATGCAGTGCTGCCATCTTCTGTTTCAGTCCGTTATTACACTCTTAAATCCTGCTACTTATTCCTGCGTCTTTTGTGATCTTACAAAGCTTCAAACGACGCGTCGACTATTAAATCAGTCGTCGACGATTTTGATAGTCGACGTAATCGTGACTAGTCGACTAATCGTGGCAGCCCTACGTCATATGTTGTAAGCAATTGTTTTCTACACTTTCACAGCTATATGTACCAGGATTGAAGAATAGATTTGAGACTTTCCAAAAAAATAACTTGGAAGTACTTAAACTAATACAGGAGGCAGTCCTGAAGCCATCTTTAAGTGTCATTAAAGCCTCTACTAAAATCTTTTAACAGTTTCTTTTCACTCTGCTGCAGTTCTTTAAAAAAAAAAAGACGACTGTATTTTTTACAATCTTCGCAGGTGGTAGGGCTGCACATGCAGGGCCTTGGCTGTGATGAAATGCTACAAGGATTTGCCGTGGCCATCAAGATGGGTGCTACCAAAGCAGACTTTGACAAGACAGTCGCCATTCACCCCACCTCATCCGAGGAGTTTGTCACGATGCGTTAATGCAAAAACAAACTCACCGAGGCATCCCCCACCCGCTACGCCTCTTGCTTCCCTGTACGACCAGCAACACAGACAAGCATACCAGGACAGAGTCACGCCTTCGAACTGCTCTCGCATCAGCTTGACGACTTGCTTTGTTAACCAGCCTACATGCTTCCATTTTTCTCTCATTTAAGTGACCTTATTTGTACGCAGTGTTTCACTTTTTTTTCTCATTTTTAACCTAATGGACCAAGACCAAGTTATGGTCTTCCTAGATTGTACTGTGGTTCCTGAGTATGGGTTGAAAACTCTGGATTCCATTTTAATGATTGTGAAATGGAAGTGATGCATCTGCAGGTATTTTTGTCAAGAGATTGCTGGGAAGTCAAAAGACCTCTCTCCTAGTGTATGTGTTTGATTTGTCAGTCATTCGTCACATGAATATAATAAGCACTGCTTGTTCTTTAAGGCACCTATTCCCTACCAATGCAGGGTCATGACATGTATCTACTGTACTGTTAAGAAAAAAAAACAATAAACCTGCAGATTTTGTTTCTTAAATGTTGTGATTTTTATTTCTTATTCAGTAACTAAATTCTGTGGTTGATTGGGCAATAAATGAAGCGCTTCTCCTATTTGGGTAGAGGGAATAAATCCCCACTCAAACTAAAGAGAGATGCTTCCTGTTTCAGGTTTAAAAAGTGACTTTCAGAATTTAATTATTGTAAAAAGTATGATGAAACTGGATATTATTTGTCAACAAAATACCCTTGCTGTTCAGTTTATTCTACACTTAGTGGCCACTTTAGATCACACTAGATATACCTGTTGAGCTACTTGTTAACACACATATCCGTTCATCCAATTACACAGCAGCAAGTGACTTTGAGCATGACGTGGTTGGTGCCACAAGTTCTGATCTGACAACTGGGATTTTCTCAAGCAACCTCCAGGATTTCAAGAGAAATGCTCCAAAAAACAATATATTTAGTGAGTCCCATTCACTGTGGAAAATATACCTTGTTGATGCCAGAGATCAGAGCAGAAAGGCCAGACTGCTTTGAGCTGGAAGGCAACACTAGTTAGTCACTCATTATAGCCATTGTATGCGGAAGAATATCCCTGGATACACAACATATCAAATCTTGAAGCAGATGAGATACTGAGGTGACAATTCGCACAGCTTCACCAAAATTGAACAACAGAAGATTTAGAAACGCATCGCCTGCCCTGACAAGGACTGATTTCTGCTGAGACATTAGGATATAGTACCATGTATAAAAAGGTATCTCTCAGATGATGTGAAAGAGGCTTTTTCTTCGTCTCTTTTTAAACTTTGTGGCACTTTTTTCATAACCAGCCTTCCTTCACACAGCAAGCTTGCAGTGGGTATTGACATAATAAAATACAGCAAAGGAAAGTCTAATTTTGAAACCTGTTTCATCTGCAATCACTGTGGCTGAATATCCCCAATGGCCCAAGAAATATGTACTGGAGGACACTCTCTGTCCCCCAGATGCCCTCCTTTGTCAATTTAAGTGTTAAACACTCCGTTATTATAATAGTGGCTTCAACTTTAACTTGGAACTTTTTTATTTGACACAGACAACTTTTCCCACCATGTTTGCTGTTGCAGAATTGATCCATAAAGTGTTCTCTTTCCCATGCAGGAACAACCGGAGGAAAATAACAAAGTGGAAACAAAGTTATTGTTTACATGAGATGAATTGCAGAATGGGAGATAGAAACAAAATACTGTTACTGTTAATCTGACTGTCTTCAGGTTTTACACGCTTACACACGTTACTGTCCCTCCATTTAGAAAGGCAGAGGCGTCACGGTGTGATTATTTTACGTGTTGTTTTTTTCTTGTGCAATAATATTATTCAACATTGCTATAAATGGGTTTAAAAACATAAACAACTATGAAATACTGTCTGTCATTTAGACAGGGGGAACAAATCATGGCAGGATCAGCCTGATGTCAGGAGTAGTTAGTCATTACAACAAGTGTTTGTAAAGTAAAAATCAAGAATATGGGATCCTGTTTGTCCGTGATTTTTTGTTTTGTTTTTGTTCCCTTTCCATAGGATCACGTTCTTTGACTTCTCCAGTGCTTTCAACACCATCCAGCCACGACTTCTGAGAGACAAGCTGGAGCTATCAGGAGTGGACCAACACATGTCCCAGATACTGGACTACCTCACAGGACGCCCACAGTATGTGAGGACACAGGGCTGTGTCTCTGACACGCTGGTCTGCAGTACGGGGGCCCCACACTGTGCTGGCACCGTTCCTCTTCACCCTCTACACTGCAGATGTCCAGGGAGTGGACATTGAGATAGTGGACTCCTATAGGTACCTGGGTGTTCACCTGAATAATAAACTGGACTGGAGCCACAACACTGATGCTCTTTACAGGAAGGGTCAGAGCAGACGCTACCTGCTGAGGCGGCTGAGGTCATTTGGAGTCCAGGGAGCGCTGTTAAAGACCTTCTATGACTCTGTGGTGACATCTGTCATTTTTTACAGTGTGGTGTGTTGGAGCAGCAGTTTATCTTCAGCTGAGAGGAAGAGGCTGGATAAACTCATCAGGAAGGCCAGCTCTGTTCTGGGATAAATAAATATGGTAAATGGCCTGTATTTATATAGCGCCTTACTAGTCCCTAAGGACCCCAAAGCGCTTTACATATCCAGTCATCCACCCATTCACACACACATTCACACACTGGTGATGGCAAGCTACATTGTAGCCACAGCCACCCTGGGGCGCACTGACAGAGGCGAGGCTGCCGGACACTGGCGCCACCGGGCCCTCTGACCACCACCAGTAGGCAACGGGTGAAGTGTCTTGCCCAAGGACACAACGACCGAGACTGTCCGAGCCGGGGCTCGAACCGGTAACCTTCCGATTACAAGGCGAACTCCTAACTCTTGAGCCACGATCGCCCTAAACCCTGGACCCAGTGCATGTGGTGGGAGACAGAAGGACTCTGGCCAAAATAACATCTCTGATGGACAGAGTCTCCCACCCCATGCATGTAAATGTTGCTGAACTGCAGAGCTGCTTCAGTGACAGACTGCTGCATCCTCGATGCATGAAGGAGCGTTTCTGCAGGTCCTTCCTCCCTGCAGCTGTCAGACTGCACAATCAGAACTGCTCCCAACAAACGTGGATGTTTACATCTGCGCTGTAACTGCAATAATTTAATCAACCGATTCGCACTACAACCTGGTTTGCCTCTTATCTGTAGTTATTTTTATTTAATTTAATAACTGTACTCTGTTTATAGTAACCATTATCCTTAATGTAAATATGTAAGAAAAATTGTGTATGTTTCTGTTCTGTGTCCTGTGTACTGTTTGTTTGTATATGTGTCTTTCTGGCTGCTGTTACAACCACATTTCCCGTTGTGGGACAATTAAAGGATTATTCTATTCTATTCTTCTAAGACAAGCCTTTGTGTTCCTTTTCTCAACAGCTGACTGTGGCTAGTAAAACTGAACTCAGCTTTCCAAAAAACATGGTTAACCACAGTGAATTCATAATTTAACAAGTGGAGTTGGTGTATTTTTTCATATGGTAAGTTTTGATAGCTTTTTCTTCCCCTTGATAAATCAAGTCATGATTTATATGGGTCATCTTTTTGTAGTATAAAATAAATAAATGAACACTTTTTCACATAAAGCATATTTTTTCCTGCTGGTGAATTTACAAGACGAGCATCGAAAACAAAAACTGATAGAAGCATAGAAACTCTTCAAGAAGCATCAAATACTAGAGCAAACTACGGCTTCAAAGAAATTCCTGGTCAGATGTCAAAACGAATGGTCCAAACAACGGTTTGTAAAATATCGCGATATCTGTTAAAGCAACGCCGAATACTTCACGTCACAAGTCACGTGTATGTTTGTGAAGCTACAGTGGCGTTCACATCATCAGTTTGGCCATAGATTCGCAAAATGGACACAGATTATGCTGAATAAACCTCACCACAGAAAGGTACTGGGTTCTATGAGCACTCCATTTAAATGTACGCTCTAGTCAGGTGTTTCTAAGTGAATTAAAATGTTATACGGCACTTGTTACTACGAGGGCTCAGGGTTACTAGCTCACGGTGTTGGCTAGCAAGGTTAGCTTGTTTGGTACGTAACCGCCGGGTTATCTCTGTGAGTGCTTGCAAGCAGGTACGGGGTTTAACTGACATCCGTGTCAGTTAACGCTTGTTTGCAGCCATGCTAACGTAGTTGCTTGGTGATACTGTGTGGACGTGAGAGGCCTTAATCTGTCAGAAGTGGGTTACGTTGACGTGCGGACTGTCTGTGACTCTTGCATAGAAAGTTCCTGTGCGTCAGTACCGATTCCCGCTACAGCGAGGATGTTTCCCAGCCTGGCCGCCCACAGACCGTGGCATGTTTTCCGCAGGGTCTCATTGCAACAGAGATCGTCCCTGTCACAGCGGCCCCCGAGGTTTCCGCAGCTGTGCCACGGTGAGCAGACTTTCACGTTAAGGTCATCTGTTCATTCTCTTAAGGCTTGGTGTTTGTTTGAGAGGGCATGAAAAGGCAAGTTGTGATTGTGTTGCACAGGTTGGCAAAGCGGAGGGCTACACAGCTTATGGTTCAGCCTCCCAGACTGCCGTGTAGTTTCTCTAGGGTTGGGCAAGGTCCAGTATTACTCTACCTCTGATACCGGTAAAGATGGTCCCCCAAAACCACCATCAGGTGATGCCCCCTCTGCAGCAAAGGTTGTATCTGGTGCTGCACAGGCCACCCCAGAATCACCAGGTAAGAAACTTGAAGATTTCCATAAGCTCCATAAATTGTAGCTGTTGAGATGTGCACAGGTTTTCCTTTATAATCAAGCATATTTTTGTATTTGTTGCTTCTCGTGTCAACACAAACAGTAGGAAACAGTTAAATGATAAATGTATGATGTGAGGAATGTGCAGTTAAGATACATTATTTGTTCTAATAGGTGCAACACCTCAGGGTCTGACTAAAGCACAGACAATTCAAGTGAAAGGTAAAGGACAACATTTGTCATTCCATCACGTTAAACTCATTTAAAATAAGAATGTGGGTGTGATCGGGTAGCTTGAATTTAATTTCCCACTGTGGTCACATGCAGTTCGTGCTGTCCTGAAGAAAAGGGAATATGGAGCCAAATACACTCAGAACAACTTCATCACTGCAGTCAGAGCGATGAATGAGTTCTGCCTCAAACCAAGGTAACTCCTCGTCCTCAGTTGTTTAACATTCAATGTTTGATTTATACAACAGCACCAAATTGTAAATCATCAAAGCTAAGCTGAGTGTTTTCTGCTAACTTAGATGCTGGGAGACAAATTTCTTTTGGTTAATAAGGAAGTGTGCTGCTGTGATTAACTAATGTAGGACTGCCTTGTGCAGCATGGGTCTAACTTAAGTCTTACCCTCACGTCTTCACAGTGATTTGGAACAACTCCGGAAGATCAGAAGGCGCAGCCCCCATGATGACACAGAGGCTTTCACTGTCTTCCTGCGCTCAGACGTTGAGGCCAAGTAAGTGTTAAACACCTCTGCTTTCCATCTTAAGCACAAATACGTTACAACACCTCCCAAACTATTACTGCTTAATCCAGAGACTTCACTGATATTTTTCTCTTAACCCCTGTTAATTCAGTTATTTCTCTTTGTTATTAGAGCACTAGATGTTTGGGGAAGCCATGAAGCTCTGGCCAGAGAGAGAAACCTCAGGAAAGAGGTGGAGAGAGAGTACCAAGAGAGTAGGTTTTTATCTTTGGTCTTAATCCAAAACAGTTCAACAGGCTTTGACATTTCAAAACTTTTTGCTAATTTATAGAAAACATTGCAGTTGGAATACGTAGCCACAGTGTACTGAGTACACTCTTTTTGCTCACCATATTACTCTAAAACCTCTGACAAATGCTCACGTTGTTAGATCTAATGTACTGAAATATTCCAGTTCTTCGCACTCAAAGCCTGACACGGAAAATAAATATTTGTCGGGACACCCTAACACAATAAAGTTAACTTAACATGTTATAGATCATTTGTCATGTCAGCTGTGATATACAAACTAACTGTCTGGCCATCAGTGTTAAAGAAACTCAGAGACAAAGACAAGTTATTTCAGTGGCTTTGAAGCATATACGGACTAAATCTTAACATTTAAAAATTATACCTAGCAGTCAACCTTGAGTTAGGCAAGTGTGGAGTTAGCAGTGACAGCAGCCATGCTCACATGCACAAAAGTAACAAGCTTAAAAGCCTGACCTGAATAAAAACGCTAGATATGAATGCACCAGTGGGAAGGTTCTGACCCATCTGTGCTCCTTTGGATCAAAATGTCCTGCCAGTTATCCTTACTGTGCATGTCTGTTTCATCAACACAACAAGAATGCAGTGTAGGTCCTTTCAAAGATGAAAAATAAGTCACAAATGCGGCAGAGAGGAGAAACTGAAATCTACGCAGCAAGGTGAGGATAAAAGTAGAAAATCATCGGAAGCGCAGCTACTACTACTGTTTCCAGAAAGTCAGGCAATCCAGTGCATGTCAAAATGATTTACTCTATTCAAATGCTTCATGCATGTAAACACACACAACAGTGAAGTTCTAATCCGAAGCTTGATTTTTGGTGACAAAATGTTTAACAGCAGCCATGAAATAGCAGGTGGAAACATGTATTAATGATGACATTGTTGTTTTTTTATTTATGTGAAATGATTCTGTCGTTTGTTGGTCTGTGAACTAATCAGCTTTGTTTTGCCCTTTTTTTCTTTATTTTAAGATATTTTTCGGAATCAGCGCTTGTTGCAAGAATATAAAGACTTTTGGGGAAACACTAAGGTGAGCTCTTTGCTTCTATTGCTGTAATTGTTTAGGGGTTAGAGCAGATCATCTACTAAATGAAAGGTTGATGGTTCGATCCCTTTCTGGTCCACTCTGCAGGCCAAATATCATTGGGCAAGATGCTAATCCCAAGTTGCTCCCTTGGTGTATGAATGTTAGATATAAAGCACTTTTTTTTGTGTGTGAACGAGACAAGTTGTATAAGGTCCTGTGAATGCTCAGGTAGAGTAGAAAAGCGCTATATAAGAACCAGTTCATTTACTATTTACATAATATTACCAGCTGTCCATAGCATGATAAGTAATGTTAACCTACCCACGTCCAAGTTCTTTGGATAAAATAGTATCAGTTGGTGTTTACCTGATCTTTGCCCCTGTTAGAGAGGTCACTGCATCTCTGACACATTCCTATTATCTGTTGGCATTCACACAGTCCCCCTTTTTAGTCTACGATGCTGACATTATTTCAGTGACTGCACTGTTCTCCATTTGTCTGGAGCGTCATGGTATTTTCTATACTCTACTGGTGTGTTACATCCTGACAACAACATACATACATCTTCTTATTTGCTTAGCAACCTAAACTAGGGTTTTTGGATACCTAGAGCATGTACTGCAGTGCAAGTTCAGCATACATAGGATAGCTTTTCCACATTACTCAAAGGTGGTTATTAATTCTCAAAGTCAACCCGGGGTTTCCCGGGGTAGACCCATCACAAACACAGATCTGCTGATTTGTTGTCTAGTGGTGTCTTTTACGAACAAAGAGTAGTTGGGTCACAGCTCCTCAGCCTTTAGTATCAAAAGGGACATTTTTGAGCACACAAAAATTTGCATGGAGCCACAAATCATATATGAGCCCAATAACGATCGTAGTAATATCATCCTCTCAAGTGGCCACGTAGCAGCGGGCCATTTATGATTATTTGGTATTTAACTGATGCTTTTCTTTTTCTGTACAGTAATACATCTTGCATTTCAGAAATGAAAGAACTAAAAAAAAAGAATATAGTTGTATATGTGCTCTACTTTGAAATTGGTCACTTTGGTTTTTACCTGTGTTTGTGCAAATTAATCTGATTTAAAGTGGGCTGCCTAAAACAGGAAGCACCCCACAAGGTTTAAAATGGTAAAAGTAAAAAGTCCAATCCAGCAGCCTTGGTAGCAAAAGATGTTGGAACCACAGGTTCAAGACAAGTTAAATACATAAGGCATGTTATAGTGAACACAACTGCTGCTGCCAAACCAGTGTGTTTGTATGAATGTGAGCAGGTGTATCTAGATGAAGGCTGTAAATTATGACCAAAGATAATAATGATAATAACAAGAAAAACTGATAATGGTAATAATCAGTAGTAGTAAGTAGGTTTTTTTGTTTGTTTTTTTTAAAGATGTTCAAGAGGTACAAACAAATTCAGATACCAAATTATGAATAAATTACTGATTTGTGTGTGAACTGTTCGTACGCAGGATTTATGCACAGATTTGTGCGTACACAGTATTTGTTTTTGAGGCTCAATCTGTGCTGCTTTGTACCCCTGTGTATCCCAACAGGACAGAATTGAAGGCCATAGGTTCCCTGCACTTAGAATGTGTTTATTAAGGGAACTGTTTAGATGGTCTCTAAAAACTATAGACCCTCTTTTTCTTTTTTATCTGCACACTGTGGGCCACTGGATCTTCTAGGAATGGTGATGGTTTCGTATCTGCTGATCTCGAGTAAAACCTGCTCAGGTTAAGTTCCAGTGGTGGTGTAGCACCTTCATATGTTAACACTGAAGTCATCTCGTTAAGCCTGTAATCCTGCTTCGTAGTACAGGTCTTATTTCCTTTTAACTGCAGAGTAATAATGTCTCTTATCTTTCATAAAGCCACGATCAGGCCAGAGGACAACATTTCTACAAGGGCCAGGGAAGGTGGTCATGGTTGCTATTTGCATGTAAGTTGTTTCACCAGTCTCCCTCATTCATGAGTGCATTTGGTCTTGTGGCCAAGTCTTTCTGCACTCAGCAGCTTTGCTGAGCTCTTGCACACACAGTGGGAGGTATTGGATTAGAGAGAGGAGCTACGGGTCTGTTCTCAGCAGGGTTACTACATACAGTATGCTGGATAAGTATCAGAAGGTGCAAAAATAATCAAACGGCAAAACAGAAATCTGCTGCGGATGAATAAAAGTGCAAAACATTCATGTGAACTCAGATGAGAAGTAACTTGTAAAGACTCCCCGAGAAATGCACACATTTCTATTAGGAATTGCATGGAAACTGCATGCATCATGTGCAGTCCTGTGGCTTATTAAGTTAAGGTGATTGTGTTAGAGAACATGTGCAGTCACATGTAGCAAAATCAGTATGAAATAGGAGAGTGGTGAGAGGCTCACTGGACTGCATAGTGCACATGACAGTGATTGAGAGGCATTAGAATAGGAATTGGAACAATTTACACACAATGTTGGATTAAAACAGTTTTTAAGAAATGGGTTTCAGTGCAGGCAACCTGATAAATCTATAAACCAATTTAATCAGAACTGTTGTTGAGCTTGAAATGTGAGACCTTACATCTGTGTGCCCGGTGAGCTCTTCACTTATTTATGTTCTGTTCTCAGAAATGGGCTGAATTTCTTTTTCAAGCTCCTGGCTTGGGTCTACACTGGATCAGCTAGCATGTTCTCTGAAGCCATCCACTCTTTGGCCGACACGTGCAACCAGGCTCTGCTCGCTCTGGGAATCAGCCAGTCTGTCCGCAACCCAGATGCCGTGCACCCGTAAGTGTTACACCTTCCTGTACTAATTAAAAGAAGAGGTTCAGTGCTCGCCAGAAAAGGAATAAAAGCAGTAATGTGTCAAAGTCAGTTGCAGCATATTGTCAGCACCCAAATATTACATTTTCTTGCACATTACTAACATTGGCACTACAGAAGTATAGAAATGTAGAAACATTAGATACGTTGATGTGGATACTTGCTAATAAATAATTCATAGAAGGGAGAAAGGATTTGGAAAAGACACCCACACCATTTTTTAAAATTTTTGGAGATGAGGATGCACATAGTGAGTATAAGTAAGCCATTTTCTCCAGGTAGGTCTTTTGAACTTTCTTATGTAAATTTATAATTTTACTTTCAGTGGTCAAAAACATTTAAAAGGTTTTGTGTCCTTATGCAAAATCAATCTACAAGGCTTTTTTCCCACCTTCTAAGTTATCCGTTTTCTATCTATTTGTGAAGTTTCATGACATTGCAACTAATTATGAAGACGGTAAGAAAAAAAAAGAGTTTTTTGCTATGATGGTGAGTAGATGTGCCCACAAAACGTCTTCTGTGGGTACCTCAGTGTCGCTCGGTGTGCCTGCTTCAGCTCATGATTGACTCTGAGGCTGCGGCGGGTGTCACATCTCTGTTATTGCTCTACATAAAAAATGGTGGAGTAAATGTTGGCTGTAATTGAGCGCCATTGCTCTGTATTTGCTTTTTTGTTCTGATATTTAGATATGGCTTTTCCAACATGCGCTACATTGCCTCCCTCATCAGTGGGGTGGGCATTTTTATGATGGGAGCAGGCCTCTCTTGGTACCACGGCGTCATGGGATTGCTGCACCCGGAACCCATCGAGTCTTTGTTATGGGTGAGTGTCTGTGTTGACTCAAATTATTCAACACAAATTTAAAAAACATTTCCCGACATATTTTTTCCTTCATTGCAGGCTTACTGTATTTTGGCGGGCTCTCTGGTGTCTGAAGGAGGTAAGTTATAGTAATGAACCAACAGATCAGATCAGATATTGCTCTGCAGCTTGTTCTCAGACATCTGTTTCTTTCTCAGCCACATTACTGGTTGCCATCAATGAGATAAAGAGGAGCGCCCGCCAGCAAGGATTGTCTTTTTATGAATATGGTACGTACAGATCAGTTCATATCTGTCTTTACACCTGGCGCTACAATTTATTCCAGGTCAATGTGGCAAATATGTGCTCATTTTGTTTGGGACTACAATGTCCCAACTGCAAAAACGAAAGCATCTTATCTCAACATGAATAACTGAGCAAAAATATTCTTTGGATGAGATTATGCAGGTTAACTTGTCTTTGTGTGAATATAATCCAATGAAATTCTCGAATGAGATTAAATAAGTGCAAACTGAGTTACACATATTACAGTTATTGTAATATGTGTTGAGAAAAGTGCTCTGTATATAAATATTAGGATTAAAATGCTGTCCCACAGTTTCTGTTACATTAGCCCACGGTTCATAATTGCCTTTAGCATTCTTGTTTGAAAGGGTGAAAGTGTTAAAGAAAAGATCAAATGATATCAATATATTAGCAGTTTATGACTATTTGTGGACAACATGGCAGTAATTTACATGATGATCATCTGTACTTGTCAGTGAATTATCTCCTTTCCTTTCATAGTGGATGCTAAAGTGTATCCTGGGCTAAAAGCATTAAAACAGCTGCTATTATGGCTGCCTCTTAGAGATTTCCATGTTAGGAACTGCTATTTGACAACACGCATGTTTTTGTGTTGGTAAGTAGCCACATGTATGATTGTGCCTTTTAACTTAAAGAAATATGGATGGAAATAACTCGAGATTTTGTTGCGATTACACTTACAGCAGGATGAGGTGTAAAATGAAAATAGTGTGTTTTGTCTTGCTGTGTGTAGACGGCATCACGGAGGCAGAATTCATTTGCATATTGCAAAATAAAGTCAGAAATCTGAAAATTCAGCTATAAATAAGCTCTCGTATTATTTCATGTGTGCAGTGATGCAGAGCCGAGACCCCAGCACCAATGTGGTGCTGCTGGAGGATGCTGCTGCTGTACTGGGAGTTATCCTGGCTGCTGGTTGCATGGGGCTCACCTCACTTACAGGTAAATACATGAGTTGTCATGTCTCGGTTTTATAATGTTTCTGATCTTTTGGACTGGAGTCATTAACCTGAATGTTTACTCGCTGACCCCAGGTAACCCGGCCTATGATAGTTTGGGCTCTCTTGGCGTTGGCACATTGCTGGGCACAGTCTCCGCCTTCCTCATCTACACTAACACAGAGGCCCTGCTGGGACGCTCCATACAGCCTGAGCGCGTGCAGAAGCTCACAGAGTTTCTGGAGAACGATCCTGCTGTAAGGTCAGCAAACGCACACGCGAACCGCCTCGACTGCAAAACATGAACTCGGTCTCGATTAACTCAGAATCTGGATGATTCGTTTTGATGAATTGAATCCTCCCACAAACAAGTGGTCAAGATTGAATCAACATGCAGTGAACAGCAGTTCAAATTAAAAATGACCCTTTAGAAGGAAGGAAGGAAGGAAGGAAGGAAGGAAGGAAGGAAGGAAGGAAGGAAGGAAGGAAGGAAGAAAGAAAGAAAGGAAGAAAGGAAGAAAGAAAGGAAGAAAGGAAGAAAGAAAGAAAGAAAGAAAGAAAGAGAGTACTTTATTTGTCCCCGTGGGGAAAATCCCTCTCTGCATTTAACCCATTCACCCAGTGAAGCAGTGGGCAGCCACTGGGCGCCCGGGGAGCAGTGTGTAAGGACGGTACCTTGCTCAGGGGTACCTCAGGGTAGCTGTTCAGGGGAATCAAACCCCCGACCTTCCGATCATGGGGCCACCACTCTACCTACTGAGCTATCCCTGCCCAGTTTCACTGGTTTCTTTTATTTGTTGCATTTGCATTTGGATCGTTTTGTGTTGTAGCAGATTCCCTCCACTAAGATCCGTAGTTTTTCTGTTTCTTCCATTGAGATGTTTTATTGTGTTGTTGGCAGGGCCATCCATGACGTGAAGGCCACTGATATGGGACTGAGTAAAGTGCGCTTCAAGGCTGAAGTTGACTTCGATGGCCGCGTGGTGACACGGTCTTATCTGGAAAAACAAGACATTGACCAAATCCTCAACGTAAGTTATCTTGTTTTAGTATTGATGTTTGTACTCAGAATGAGAGCCGTTTGTGGACTGGATGTTTGGCCACTGCTATTTTTAGTAGTTGCTTTAATAACTTATTAATAAAGTCAGGAACACTATGCAAATAGTTTTTTTCTGTATACAAGATTCTAATCTGTTCCCTGAAGTTATTTATCCTGTGAACACAGCTCATCGTGTTGATGAACAGTTCATGATCATTTGCATGTAGAAATCCTTACTTGTCTAAAAACGTCAGATGTACACAGCCACCTTGAGTCCTGAAATATAAAAGAACTAATCCTGTTAAATGTCACATTCTTGTGTCTTCCACACATAAATGTGTAATTATCATCTGCAGGAGTTATTGTCCTTGCAGGCCATGAGCTATGCAGTGTGTCATACAGTTCTTCAGTATGAATTCCAGTGATTACTGATCTTTTTACACAGACATCAGTTGCTTCAAGTTCTTCACATTCACTGGTGAAACAAAATCTTTGAGTTTAGTGCGGTGTGCATCTGACGTTGTTAAAGACACTTTTTTATTATTATTAATTATCGCATGGTGTTTTTGCTGTCACTGCATTCCTCAAAGTTCAGACAGTAATTGGGAGACCACACCACATTTAAATAAAATCTAAGTTTTTAAACACAAGCACCCAAGAGACAGACATCACATGGCTGAGCAGGTGGGCCATGTTTTATAGCCTTGAAGGCACAGATGAGCTGCATTAGCCAATGATCACTAATAGCAGGCTGGGACCGATGTCATGAATGTTGACCCGTATCTTTACTGACAAAACTACATGTTTGTGTTCGTGTCTCTGCAGGACATTCAGCAGGTGAAAACCCCGGAGGAGCTGGAGAACTTCATGCTGAAACACGGAGAGAACATCATCGACACCCTGGGAGCTGAGGTGGACCGGTTGGAGAAAGAGCTCAAAGTACTGAAATATACATTTCTTTGCTATTCTAGTTTGTTGTTTGTCTCATGCTGTTACAGAGTGCAGCAGGAAAAGTCATAAAATCTGGGAATGACTTTATTTTTTCCTGCATCACGAAACACTTTTGGTGCCCAAAGAGGTCATGGCCTTAGACCGGAGAAGGATCACCAGTATTGTGATGTTTAATACATTTTTTGTAAAGTTGGGTTTAATTTGCTCAAGTTTAAAATACATTTTTGTTACTTAAATGGCAAAAAGGGGAAGTTAAAGTTCCCCTAAGGCAAAAGAATCTGTTGCATGAATTGAGAAGATGCAGACCCTTTGTGTTTGTATTCGTAGTCACTCCCTCCAGATTCCTGTTTTAAGCTGGGAAACACTCAGGATGAGCTCTCATATCTCAGTCACTGAGTTCATTATAATAATGTCCTTGTTAAAATAATTGCAGCAGCTTTTCATATTTTGTAAAGAAATAAGAAATATCCCACTTGTGAATTTGACTAAGAGTGTTGTCTGGGAAATCTAACATGATCCCATCTCCCAAAAAAGATCCATTTCTGATCATCCAGCCATGGTGTCGTTCATTTAAAGCCTAACGTTGACAATGTTGCTTCTGGTAATTGCATTTACATATCAAAAACATAGATTTGGTGGCGGTTTGATAAAGAAAAATTCTACGCTTTTTTTCACTCAGACATTATTTTCAGCAAAAAACATCCTGTTAGCTTTTTGTGAAGAGGATCGCAGTGATCCAGACTTCCAACCTATCATAAGCCACAAACCTCCGTTTTCACCATAGAATGGTATTTTTAAATAAAAGTATTTGATTAAGAATTGCAAGTCAAGTTTGTGCGTAACTTTGGTTTTGTGCCTCTACAGCAACGCAACCCAGAGGTCCGTCATGTAGACTTGGAGATACTCTAACATCCCGAAATGCCATGAAGAAAAAGCTGGAAGGACGGCCACGCCTGCCTCTGCCTCTCCTTCTGACTACAAAACAAACACGGACAACAAACCCGCACAACTTCTCAAGTCTTACTGTAGAATAGTCCAGAAGGATGAGCACAGACAGTGTTCGAGCAGCTATGCCCGAACTTCAGTCTGGGACACTGTGAGGTCACCCTGCCAGAGATCCGCTTTCACATTCCAGTGCGAGTGTTTCTGGCAGAAGACTAACGGCTGTCATTAGGCTCCTTGAATTTCACTAGAAATTCGCACACAAACTACGACAGCGTAGTCCACTGGCTGGTTGCTTAGACTCACATTCCTCCATAAAAGTGTCATGATGTGGGCTCATGTCTGTGTCTAAAGCAAAACCGAGAACAGGACCAGTGTCGTTTACTAGACTTGTACCACAGTGACAGAGTTTCCTTTATTAGTGCAAAAGGAAACCAAAGAGCTACAATTTCAACCCAGACTTATTTAATGACCAGACAATGTTAGAGGGTTTTTCTTTCTGTTTCCTTTTAACTGAAGACGGCGCGATGCCGCAGCTTCTCTAACGAAGACAGAATTTGTGATGAATAGATTTTTATTGCGATCATAGAAAGTCAAATGGTATTATTGAGATATTTAATAGGTAGAGCAAATATAGTAGGACTTGATGTTATGAATACAAGTTGTCTAACCTGGATTTGCAGAGTTTCTGCCAGAAAAGTTGACAGGCCTGACCAGCAGTGCTCGATAAGTCAGGGTTTAAAGTTTCATCACTTTTTTTACATTAGATTGGCTTTACATGATTCACAGTTCAAAATAAGCCAGACTGTATCCTACACTGGGCCTTGGTGCAGGCCCTCATTGCATCCTCAGTCTCATCCTGGTTACCTTTAAGCTAACAGTCTTTTGATTGGCTGCCCTTCAGCAGATGGCTTAAACATGTGGGCGGGGCTTCTCTGCTCACAGAGCTGTGTTCCTGCTATGGCCATTTTGGGAATACTGGCTCGCTATGTCATCATACATAGCAAAACAAAAAAGAAAGCTTCTGGCACACAGGGGTTACTAGTACATATGCCGAGCTCATTCTTTGAAAGCTTTGCCATGTTTAATATGATCCTCCACCATATATATAGGACAGAATGACAAGCATAGGAGCCTTTGTGACACTGAGGAACTGTGAACAGCTAGCACTACTTTTTCTCTCCAAACACAAGCAAGCAAACGGTCTGTATCAGCAGGAGAGCCCCAGATCAAGATGAAACGCTCACATAATCAAATATCAGCTGAACAACATTGTATTAAGGCGTAACGTTTGTCCTGGTCTTTTTACTTTTTGTTTTTACTTCTTGATTCTGCTAACTCGTTCAAACAGCTGTTTTATATGTATAAAGCAGCTGGCAGAGCTGGTAGCCTAATAAGATACAGTAGCTAACCTAACAGTTGGCGCTGTTGCCTTTAAGAAAAATCTGAAATACTTGGTCTGGACCACTGGGCTTGAATACAGTGTTGGAAACCCTGCACTGTATTATTGTTTTCATTTAATGGGTTATAATCTTAAACGAGCTCTGATGACGACATCCTTCCAAGCCAATAATAGGCACTGACTTTACATCTCTAAACGCTGTTCTTAGGGTTAGAAATGCTGTCTTGTCACGTGACTGATTGTATTGTTCCAAAGATAAAATGCAGAAGGAGTGGAAACGTCCTTGCCTCTTGCCCACCATGTATAAATAAGAGATCTTTAATGAAGACACGTGGACCAGCTACCTTTTATTTCTTTTCTTTTTTCTTGAAGTCCACCAACAGCTGAAAACTTACAGGCATCGTCACCCTGTGGAGCATGTGGCAAAAAATGAAAAGTTGTGAAGTTACTCCTTCATGATGTATCTGCTAATGTTCTGTATAAACCGGACTGTGACGGTGTTTGTGCTTGTCATTCTTTGTTGCCGCTGACACATGATCGTCGTGCTGTCATGCTTCAGGAGTCATTTCGCCTCGGTTGGGAAGGCAGATCTGTGTTTTTGAAGGGGATTGTGAACTGTTTCTTCTTGGGTCATAACGATGACGCTACTGTTGAAGGACATGAATATGAGATAATTTATTAAATTATTTTTGGTTTCCTTTTGTGTCGTTTGTTTGAATTCTCTTTTGTTTTGAATGCTGTGCCAATATTCATGGTGTTGCTTGTAGAAGCTCCACACTTTCTTTCTCCACACTTACACACACACACACACACACACACACACACACACACACACGGAAAAAACCTAAATAACTTTGTAGGTCTTGGAAAAGGCACCACCAGATATGTTTATCTGTCTTTTTAAAAACGTAGAATTTAAAGCATTGTTTTTCCCCGAACTGGATTCCTGTTTAAAGCTCAGATGGATGACTGGAATGTAAACCCAAGTCCATTAGATGGTGCAGTTGTGGGGATGAGAGAGGGGGGCACTAGCCTGTTCGCTGACGTCAATAAAAACAGTCATTTCCAACCAGTCTGCGCATTGACCGACCGTTCAAAACATTACGCACAGCATCGCGGCCGGACCACGCTAGACTGCTCGACTGAAATAATTTTTCGCCGAGCCTGGAGGGCGGACGATCTCCATTTGCAGGTTTTTCACCGTTAAATGTTGTCTTAAATTTTTGGGGTGTTGCGCGCATATCGGTGTCATGTCTCGTCATACCATTCCCAAGTCAGTTGTGCCACTGCCCATCCTGTTTCCTTCCATGTCTCCCCTCAAACAGAGAGAATCGCTTGTGCATGTGTAGCTAGAGAGAGAAAAATAGATCCTCGGGCTGAATCGGCTCATTTTTTTTAAAAGGGAAGAGAAACCTGCGTCGAGGAGCGTCTTTCTTGTCTGGAGATCAGCACATAGATCTTCAGCCCTCTCGCAGCCTCCTGCACGCCACATCGCCGCTTTCAGTCATTTACAGACAGATCTTGTCGGCGCCTTTTTTTTTAAAACAAAAAGGAAAAGAAAAAATGTAGCTGCTTTATGTTATTATTTTCGATGTATCCTGTTTTCCCCCCTCGCCTCCATCAACCCACAGATGGGGGCGCAGTTAACCTGCACAGTTGGGGTCTCAGATTTTCATGAAGCCTCTCCTCCATCACCACAAGCCTGTGGTTACAAAACCCCGAAACCCATTACTCTTCAGCGCGGGGTTGAATTCAACAAACGTAGCGTTGTAATCATCTCTCATCACTCCTGCAGAAAATCTCAACACTGTGTATTTGCTTTTACGCGGGCCCACTGTGTGTGCGTAAATGTGTGTTTTTTCTTTCTGACGTCCCCCCCCAAATGATCGATTTGGTTGCTGTTTCAATCACAGGTGAGGAGCATCTAGAATAATCCAGGTCGCGTATGATGGCACGAAAAGTCTTCATGGCGGATGAGCATCATCATCATCATCACCCTGCTCTACGCTTTTAGCCTCTTTACAGTGCTGCCTTGTCTAATCATGTTCAAGCAGCATTGTACAGGGCTATGACAGCATAGAGAGCTGTGCGGCTCGGCCACTGCGTTTCCCTGACCCCGTGGATGGCAGCCAACTAATGACATCATCCGTTTAAAAACACAAACTGCGAGGACTGCATGTGATCTGCCACTGAGCTGTGTCTTTTAGGTTCATGCTAATTTAGTTAAAGGCGTACATGCACTGCATTACGTCGGACTGTTAAAACGTGTGCACATCAAGAGCTCATTGGGTTGAATTATCCAGATTTCTTTGTTAGTACCATCTGATTGTGCTGCTTCTGCATGAACCCAAGTCTCTTAACATGTAGGCTCCAGTGCATCTGATTTACTGCCAAATAAACCTCATGCTCACAGCCAAATATATCAGGTTTTTAATATATATATATATAAACAGCAGGGTCTGTTCTCTAAACAACTTGAGGGTTTTGTAGATTTATCAGCACTGCACAAAAATGTAGTTAAAATGCTTTCATTGAATATGGGTGAGGTTTATGTCTACTTACATTTTGCCTGCCTAGTTTTACTGATATCATGACGGTGCCTGTGTGGAGCCAGTTCTGCTGTGGCGCCTTTTGAAAACCAGTCTATATTCTGAAAGATTTGAGAACCTTAAATTATGTGAGGAAAATTGCAGTAGTTACCATGGGCAGAAAATTATGGTAACCAGAACCAGCTTATCTATAATTTCTTGCCCCTCCCATAGCCTCCGACTTCAACAGTCTCTAACCCAGCAATCATGGGAAGGAAGCTTTTTTGGCACTGGGTGCTCTTTTCGTAAAAGGAAACGCCTGGAACTGGTTCTACATTGGCATCTACACTGAACTGATGCAAAATGATTATCTCATAAAATTCTGTTTTAATGTATGTAATATGGAATATAACACAAAAAAGATCACAGATCCCAAATTTCCAGCTATTTTTCATCAGTAAATATACAGAAACACCTTCAGATGGGCTATAAAAGTGCCCTCTTTAAACATTGATATTGATTTTTCCACTAATCATCTACTTAGCTCTGTGACTAGAATAGTAAAACCATGAGAAGCACAAACCCTGTTGCTACATAAGCTATTGTTTGTGATGGATCACCAGAGCTTTAAATAATGAGGTCAGCATATGTAAAGGATCCACACAGAAATTCAAACTGCTCCAACCTTTTGTTTGTCATGGGCAGCTGATAAAATAAAGGTGGTTTAACATAAGGTTGAAGTGAAGCAGGAATTATTTTGATTTGTACACAATAACAGAATTATTTCTTAATATATAAAAATTACTACGGTCAATATTATTGAAAAACTGACCCTTTTATTGAGCCATAGCACAAACTACAGTGTGTAATGTAATGTTAAAATCGAGGGTCAAGTCAGGTCAGTGTCAAGAACTAGAGTGAGTATCATCATCAAGAAATTCAGAGAGAACCACACAGTACAGAAGAAGCCTGGCAGAGGTGGGAAAGGAAAGACTTCAAAGACTCTGGGAATAAAACTAGTGAGAGATGTGTCTAAAGACCCCAGCGCAGCTGCCAAGATGCTGGTGTGTGACTTAGTCAAGTGGAATTGTAGTCTCAAAGAAGAGAATCGCTAGAATCCTGCACAGGGATTGACTCGCAGACCAAGAAAAACTCCATTTCTGCAGAAGAGATATCTTCAAGCCAGACTGAAGTATGCTAAGGACAACCAGAGAAAGGGTGTGCATACTGGAAGCACATCCTTTGGTCAGATGATCAGAAGAGCACTTTGGCCTTGCTATGTTTGGAGAAAGAAGGGAGACGTGTAGAACCCAAAGAACACTGTCCTCACAGTGAAACAGTGATAGGACACCGTGCTGTGGTGACACTGCATAGCATGTGGAACCAGGAATCTCATCAAGGTGGAAGGAATTATGAAGAAAGAAGGGTGTGTCAAGATTTTGTAAGATACAAACCTGAGTCTCAGTCGTCCTTTTGCTTGCCAGTATGACAATTACCCAAAATATATATATATTGTTCTTGGTAAGAAACTCCATACCTGTAACTTCAAAGTATAGTACACAGGTAAACTGTGCTTCATGTCAACATACAGACTTCATGGCTGGGGCTGGAGCATCTTCTACAGAACTCCATGTTCTTAGTCGTTTAGGTAATTCTTTATGTTCGGGGTTGCCATGAGTACAAACATCTGAAGTGCCTGAAGCATTTGCACAGTACTGTGTATGAATTTTTAATGCTAGGTTTGAACAGTACTTGCCTGTAAACAACGTTCCAGTTTGCTGCCTTCTGCTGGCTGCAAACTGAGCGCTTGACTTTCACTCCTGGTGCTGAGTGTCTGCTATCCCGGACTCTGTCTGATATGGGATTATGTAATGAGAGCATTGTTAATGAAGGGGCCTCCTCACTAATTAACTAACAAGCTTAGGCTTGCAAGAGAGGAAGCAAGTTCATGACTCCTCAGCGGACCTATTTGACTGCCTGTTTAGAGATTCGAACAAAGATCTTTGAATGAGGATTTTGCAATAACCTAAACTTGTGACCTTCAAATGATGCTTCAACATACACACACGAGCAAAACCGAAATCCATGAATTCACAGATTTTATTACAAATTCAAATCTTTGCTAACAATGGCCCTGGAGAAAGAGTCCTGCTGTATGGACTTTCACTGCCTGCGTATTATTACAGTCCCTTTGTAGGGTCCCAAGGAAAGAAGGAGTGATGTCGTTTCAGGCACTTAACACCCTCACTGGCTGCAGCTCGCACACGGCTGTAGGCCGTTCTCATTGCACGAAGTACACTTGAGGGCTTTGAAGGAATCCGTGAAGCAGTTACGAAACACAGACATCTTGCTGCCATGGCACATCGGGCACGGGATGAAGGCGTAGCCCCCGCAGGTCTGGCACGTCTGGGGATGCTGTACCCTCTAAAACGGACAGACAGGTTCATTTAAATAATTAATACAAACAGGACTGACTACCACTAAAGAACTTACCCATTAATAAAATTACACCAGGCAGGCATGACATTAAACACACTGACATCTGACATAAATAACAATATTCATTTTACTACGATGCAACATTCTGCTAGGAGATTTTGGGCCTGCACACTTGCACTAAAACCCAAGTAGCCAGCTCAACAAGAAACAGCTTTAAGTGTTCGCATGCTTCAGATACCAATGTGACTGAGCATCTGCAGAAGAAGTTTTGACTCCTACCTAATGTTAGGTCTGGTGCATGTCCTTTTTGTCTAACTTGTACAAAACCTGAGCTTTTAGCAATGACTGATGGATCAACATGAAACCAAAAGGTCTCTGAAGTCACTAATAAGTGCTTGTCAGGAGTACCTCGATCCAGGTTAAGAGCAAAACGAGACTGTGCTTTTTAGGTTGTGACTCCTAAGCTGTCAAACTCTCTTCCATTGGATGTTTCTTCTTGAAAAGCAACATATGAATACAGTTTGCTTTTTTTACCCAGCAACATGCCCCCTTGGGCCCGCGTGAGAGCACTGTGGGCAGACCCACACAGCCCAGAAGAATTTCCTTTTGGCTGTCCAAAAGAGCAGAACTACTACGGGCCCCACAAGGACTGGACTACATGGGGCCCACATGGGTTTTTCTTTGGGCAACCCATAGTGGATTTACATATAGAAAATTTATGCAG